TAAATTCGTAAATGTAGTTAGACTTGTTGACACTGTATTCAAGTGCTAGTACGCATACACAAATGACACAATGAGAATAAGAATCTTGAGTAACCCAAAACACCAAGACAAATCAGCTGACACCTAAATGGTCTTTTTTCTAATTTTTATTTAGTTATTTATGTTTACATTACTTTTAAAAACCTTTTTGGTTGGACTTATGAAATGAAAAGTACTTTTCATAGGCAACTGGAATTTTCCTGAAAGTCATGTTTCTCCTAACAATAAATGAAATGTATTCGTAGTTAGACTATAGACTTAATAAAACTGTGATACAAAAGCTTCATATGAAGTTACTGTTACTATTACTATGGATTCCATTTGAATGAAGACTGAGAGTTTATGGATTCTAAAGTGGACCTAGGCAGTAACTGCGGTAGTACATGTCTCTTCCAGATGCGTAATTTATTTTTTTTGTCTGAAAATAGAAATCAAAGTTTATCAGCTTTTCCAATTAATTGAGGTATTACTTACAAAATCATTTAAGTAGGAATATTAAAACCATGAATAATTCCAACATTGACTTGAAAAAGGAATTAAGGTTATAAGGCTTACTCAATACTTTCTTTTGATCCTCCAATCTTCCTGTAGTTTCTGTGACTGAATTATACCATCTAGCAAAATACTACCTTCCATTGCTTCAAAAGGAGTTGTAAAGCTGCAAATTACTATAGTTAACTTACTTATTTGAAACTTCCAAATAAATTGGACATACGGATGATCTGATACTGACTAAATGAGATGAATTGCGTTAGAACACACTTTCTAGTATAGTTGCAAGAAGTAAGAACTGATTCATTTAGAAGAGCTACGACAAAAAAATACGTCAGTACGTATCACAACGTACCAACAGAAGAATTACCCATGATCATTTACAAAGTAATAAGAAATCCACCGGCGACAGTGTGCTTCCGACTTCTATTTAGCACGAAAGTCCTCTCCGTATGCATCGAGAAGCCCCAGGTATTTGAAGCAAAGTAACTAGTTCGTCCTCTACATATACTATGGATTGAGTCTTGTTTGGTCCCTTAGGTGTTTTCCCCTCCCCCTAGTGATTAGCATTTATCTTTCTTCACACTAGTAGACTTTCTTATCAGGATGGAACGTAGTATTCCCTTCAAATCTCACCTTCTTTACTTTGTTGAAATAAATAATAATCTCAACTATGCGAACTTGCGTATAAAAATGGGATTTTACCGCTTTTGTTAACTAAATCTCGGGAAAAATATTTTCTCTGATTATCTCTTATTCCTTATATTGAACCAAACAAACTGCTCAAAAGTTTATATTAACATAAGTCATCACGTTAACTGTATATCAAACTTCCCCAAAAGCTAGTTTCACTTGGTGGTACCTTGGTTATCAGCACCAATCACCATCAATAGGAAAGACTTAACAGAGATTATTTCCTTCACTTCTCTGGCTCGAAAGCACGGATCCAGATGTCAAAGCCAGTCTGATTCAGAAAAGGCAACATACACCTCCATCAACCTGAAACCAGTTTGAAAATCTTCTACACTCCGCCTCAGGATAAACAACAAGATTCGGGTTTTCAACACAAATGTGAAGTCAGTCAGTTAACGCTTCCATACGGGTCAGAAACTTGCACTGCATGTGTGTGTCACGTTAAGGATTTCCAACAAGCCACTGCACGCCTTCATAAACAGCTGTCACCTTCGCTAACTAGCTCCATACTGAAGATGAAGTGGCCACCCGGTCATAAGGAATTAGTGACAAGAAACTCTGCAGTGGAACAGATCAATGAAGAGCCAATCGCTCAACAAGTATGTCAGAGTGAATTGAGATGGATTGGGCATGTATTGAGGAGTCTGTCGAATGACATCGCGTGCAATACAGACCGTAGCTCGAGTGGAATGCAAATGGGGAGCGACGATTGGGTCGTTGGTGTGAGGGTAACATGGAGGAGATCATGTTGCGAGAAGGAGGTGAGAGATTCTGGTGAATCGTGGACCCAGCTGAAGAGGGTGGCAGAAAATAGGCAAAAGTGGAGATGTGTTGTTGAAGCCCTGTGTTCCACTTGGAACCCAAGGGTGTAATAATATAATAATAATAGTCAATTATATAGAAGCTCATTTCTGTAATGATAGTAGCTTCCGAGTTTTAGGTGATTAATTAGTGTTGAACTTAGATAGAGTACAGTCACTGAGCTAAATAGCTGAAAACAGAAATGTAACCAGACCGCATTTAAAATACATGAAATGTAGAAAATGAAAGAAAGGCTTTCTTACTCTCACCTTATTCTTCTCTTTGTACACTTCAGTGATGGAATAGAAAGTAGAAGCGTTCGTTTGCAGGGATTTAATTGGTTTCTGTATTTTATCATGAGCAGACATCGGTTAGGGAACAATTGGGAAACTTTGGAGGAATGGACAGCTGTGTGGTCCTAGTTCAGCACTCTTTATCAGTTCGCAAACACTGGGGTTCTAACCTCAGACCTTCCAATTACAAGGAGAGCTTGTAGAAAGTTAAGCCACTGAGATCCGATCTAATGGCCCATGAATTCCGACTTCTGCCAGTTTACGATAGAATTCACGAAACAGAAAACAGATATGCGTTGAGTAAAAGCTAAGGTCCTTGAATATGAATCTCTTTATTTTAAACTGCTGTAAAGATTATTTTATTGTATTTTGGCTATCAGCAAGAGCTGTTTCTATCATTTGGGTTAGCTTTTAAAGTTGATTTGCAAACAATAGATTTAAATGACTAGGTGAAATTGCATTTACCTCCCACTACACAGTCTTCAGACGGTTGAGCTAGTTTACACAGAACGTACTGGAGTTGACTTATACCACTCATAGCTCACAAAAGTAGACCTGTAAAGCTTTAAACAGCTCTCTATTCAGCAATCAGACTCTATTTTACTGATGTTGTTTACAACCGGTATACAAGATACCACTGCAGTTTTAGATCAATACCTGAGTATGTTTATTTATTCTGCTACTTTTCATATTATGCGTGATGTTCACTTTTGTTAACATCCATCACTGAAGGAAATATTGAATTAGTATATTTATTAATATGACAGTGTTTGTATCATTTGATGAAACAATGAGTGGTTATACTTCACATCCTTTTATCTACTGTCGGTCATATAAGGAACGTGTCATTACTTATGATTGTTTTTGATTCTTAATAGACTCAGGTTTGTACTTTATGAATGATCAGTAGTTGTGTACACACAACTACTGTTTTCTTATTTTCCTTTTTTGTTTCTGTATACAGCAAAGGCAGTGAGAACAAAGTAGCCCTGTGGTGACACTTAAGGTGTATACATAATAAATGAAGTTATGAGATCACCGAGTTATACAGTCGATATTACTTTTTTTCATGTTTACGAATCAACTTTTTCTTTCACTAGTGAAACAAGAGTGAAGATCTTAGGCCAAAGTCATTTCATTACTACTGAACTAGCATCTATCAGGGTTTGCCACTTCACTACCAAAATTTATCAATGGCATAGAATTATTCAGTAGCTGAATAAGAGAAGTGTTAAACCGTAAACCAGAATGTCTGTCATATAGTTGAATAAAAACACGATAAGGTATAAAATGTTTCTTGGATTTTCATTACATTTTTAACACTCCCAGTATTCGACAGTGTGGTTTAAAAGAATTGTGTAGGTGATGACTAGCAATGGAATCTATTATACAAATTTCATCCTATTTGAGACTCGTCATGTGGATGCGCTTGCGGTCTACAGAAGCCGAACATCTTGATTTAATCAGTCGGCGAGTAGAACAGTCCGATCACACGCAGATTTCTGTATGAATTCTCAAGATAAGTATATGTGTGACCAGATTGTTAGAAATGTTTCGTCCAGTTACATTACATGATTATGTTGCTTAAAATCAGAAATGGAAATATGTTTAAAAAGTTTTTATTTTCTAATTTTCCTAATCATCACATCTTAATGGAATCTCTTAGACGATACCCTAATTTCCATTCAAAATAATGTATAACATTTTCGCCATTTCTCATTGTTTTAAACGTCACCATGTATTCATGTAGCTTTCATTAGCCTGTTATGGATTTATTCAAGTAAATAAAAAGGAAAATCTCGCCAGAATGAATAGCATTGTGTCATATAGTAAACTGTCAGTTATTATGCTTGAAGATCCTGTGCGTTGAGTCAATATCAGGCATTAAAGCAAGTTGAGAATTATGTACTGTATTCAGTCATACTGTCCAGAATAAAGCTATTCTTATTGCTCTCATATGGATTAAGTTGAAATAAATGTGGAAAAGGTTTTCACATGATGTAGTCGATTATATGAGAAACCCATACCTAATTGATTTTTTAAACTATTGTGTCAGCCAATAGAGCCTAAGCATGGAAAAACCTATAGAAATTTATAGTTATACAGTTTGCCAATAAGAATTTTATTTCTTTTACACCACTAATGTGAAAAGCCCACATCACCTGACATATACACATTCACATTACTGTTTTGTACAAATAATATATATACTGTCTGAGAATAAATAAATAGGAGATGATAATGAACTGCTTAAGATGTGCAAAGACGGAGGAAGTGAGTATAGTTTGAATCAAGTAATCCTAAACTTGAGTACAGTAATTCCTCAAGTCTAATCAATTGGGGCATGCAAATAAGGTCCAGGTTAGGTCGAGTTCACTCTCTACCAATCTGTGAAACATATTTTCCCCTATCTCTTCACATACTAAATCTTATTATAGCAACGAATAACCCATTGCATTGCAGGTTACATCTTTTACGGCAAGATAAAAGAACTTTCTTTTGTCCAAGATGTTTTCATACCTCATTGTAATTAGCTCCATATGAAAGAAATTCTCCAGTAATTGGATTTTATGTCAGTCTTCAAGCTTTTAAAGGAATAACTTATCATGCAATTTGTTTTTGATAAATCTGAGTGAAGAGAGAAGAATAAAACTAACCTCTCCTAATTCCTCCATGATACAGCGAGCCCAGTTGTCCAACAACCAGTGGCTCTGGTTAGTTCAGTGTCCTTTGGCCCGAATCCTGCATCACTTCCATGCAATATTTGTATGAATAAGATCACCACTACCGTAAACTATCGGAGAGGCATATGCACTTGGCTGGCATGCAGTGGAATAGCATTGGTTGGGTGAGTTTTCTTCTTTGTTATTTACTTTATCCTGGTTAATTTTAAAAAAAAGTGTAACAAAATAGGGAATCTTGAACTTTGAGAAATACATGGTATATTTGGAAGGCTCATGTCATAATATGGTTCTTTTGTAATCTGAGGCGGGTAATTCTGTGTATAAAGAAATAACTAGCGGTCACTTGTACTTAATCATTTTGCACAGATATATATTTCCCGTTAAGCAAATACATGGATATTACTAATTAAATAAAGGCATAAATGTTTAAAAATCTGTTTAGTCATTGTATTCTCCACTGTATAAGAAGGAAAACTTAAGAATTCAAGCCTTGAAGTTACTAGGAAATCCTATTACCATATCGAAAATGTAATTATACCACTATGAATGAGAAAAATATATTTATTAGAGCATCATTAAAGACATTTCAAAAAGTAAGAAACATAGGTGAAAACCTAGAGATTCTTTTGTTACTTTATGTAAACTCTCTGATCAACCTTCGACCATGTGGTTCCACAAACATTATATTACATTTAGATGAATTTTTGTTAGGAAAACTTAAACAGATCCTTCGAAATACCTTTACAGCATTCAATACCTTTGTCAACGAGTGGTCTGTGTGACGGAGACTACATACATGAGTTGCATATATTGCTTAAAATGAGCAGATATCTATGGGATCTCGCGATGAAATGAAAACAAATCTGTGAAATAGTTCATCTGTTCACTTCCCCATATCTTATTTAGGTGAACAGTATATACATATATATTTCAGACATTAAACATTTTGATAGTACTTGTATTAGTTATTTGAAATGATTAATGTATTGTTTGAAAAGTTATGCGACAGTTATAGTCCATTTGAAGTCAAACTATGATCAAAGGCTATTCAATAAGATAAATTGTTGGTAGTGCACAGCGTAAGTATTAAGTAAATTATTTACTATTTGAAGAATTAACTAATTACAGTTTCACTTCAAGGGCACTAAGGTCCAAGTGACAGGAGGTTGCAGTATTATTGTAACAGAACGATTACTTTTATTACTGAGAACTAATCACTATGTGGATCGTTCTCTGAACAATAACATTTAATGAGATGTTAACTACTGGTTCTTATCAAAACACACCCATAATTGTGTGACATGCATTAAATCAGTGTTATTTTGGTATACACAAGTGAACAAAGTCGCTTTGTTGTGAGGTTATAGTAATGAAAAAAAGTCTAAAAGTGGACGAATTTTACTTTTTTGGTAAAGAAAGAAGTTTCAGTTCTCGTCTTATTCAAACAGCAGTTGCTTAGGACAGAGGAAATGCTGACATTTTTCCTTGACCATGTCTCCATGATTCTCGGGAATAAATTCAATCGGTCTTCAACAGACTTATCAACTCGACTTTTCGCTAAAAATATACCAAGTTGAATATTGATTTCTTTCTAACAATTGATATTTCCTTTTAGATAACTTTTTGTTATCACTAATTCAATAAAGCGTTAATTAACAACATATTACAACCAAATATTTGCCCTTTTTTGTATTCAAACGTATGGTTTACACTCATTTTCTTATGAGTGGATCAAATGCACTCAAATAGTTAAACAGGTAGTACTGAAAATAAAATATGTTTTTCAAGTGTTGGTTCGAAGGTATTTCATTGGTTGCAGGTTGGATCACCGGCTGACAGCGATTAAAGAAGCATTAGAAAACCAAGGAGTACTGAACAGCTGTTTCGTCATAATTTGGGAATCTTAGTCAATTCACATTTCTGAGGCGGAACCCCTGTGAATGCTTATTGCTGAAGAGTCTCAACCAGCCGTTCAGTTCTCCCCGGTTTTAAAATGTTTCTGTTACTGATGTCAGCCTGTGATCAAACCTGTAAAGTGAATGCACTTCATAATCAAACTTTGTCTTAATGATCTTGATTTATTCTGCTGGAAGTACCTTCATTTCAGTGGCCATAGATTGAGTTGTATTACTTTTGAGCAAAAATCAGTGAATTACTAAACTAAATCTATGCTAAAAACAGGTAAACGAAATTAATGAGATGCACCTGGTTTTCAAAGTCATGAGTCGGGTCAGTTTGTATTACTCCTACTAAACTTGAATAACCTATACTCATTATTCTAATGTTAAATGGTATGGTAGGAAATGAGGAAGCCGGCATCAAAGCCAACTACTTTTGATTTAATTAAACACTGTTATGTGTTCACTTACATCACTGTCATCATCACTAATGGCGTTAATTAGATTTAATGATTCATGCTAACTGGGAGATTTGTGTAGATGTTCAAGACTTCTGTAATAACCACGTGTATTCGGCTGTAGGTCGTAAATGTCACATTCAGTCAACTTATAATTTTTCATAAAATGGCACAACTGCCATCAATAAATAATGTTATTCCTCACAACACTTAGAACCAAACATATATAAAAGACTCAAGTTAACAAGTGATGCAGAGAATAATAGTTTGGCTTAGGAAAATTGGAATCAATTTAATTCGAAATAAATGTTTTTTGGTCATCTAAAAATTGACACCTTGGTACACCAGACATATTGGATTGATAGTAATCACATTTTTAATTGGTGAATGCAATCATAATAAACTCATTGGGATTTTGATAAACATCATGTACACAACTTGTGGTGAGTCATTTGATATCATCTGTATTCTACATGACTGATATACCAAAGTGTATAAAACGATCTTTGCATTCATTAAGGTAAACATCATTTGTAAATGGTGTAGTCAGTCAATACTGACATTCTTTAGCAAGAAATAAAAGTAAAATATCACTGATTTCATTGAATTTTTATACAAATGCAATTTGCGAGTATTGGTTTTGTAGGGATTTTGTTTGATTGCATGGAGGATTTCATCATGAGCTGACATCAGTTGGAGAACCACTGGAAAACCTGGGAGTACTGGACAGCTGTTTCGCCCTAGTTTGAGACTCTTCATCAGTACGCACCCACCGGGATTCGAACCCAGGACCTTCTGGTTACAAGGCAAGCTCGTAGACCCTTGAGCCACTGGGACCCGATCCAGTGGTCCTTGAATTCTAACTTCTGGTTCTAGTGGGAAGCGAAATGGTCGCGCTATGTCTTCTTCGATGAGTTGCTGCCTCATCTTCAACCTGCTGTACCCTACTGGTCACGGCTTCCCACTAGAACCAGAAGTTAGTATTCAAGGACCATTGGATCGGGTCCCAGCGGCTCAACGGTCTACGAGCTTGCCTTGTAACCAGAAGGTCCTGGGACTGAATCCCGGTGGGTGCGTACTGCTGAAGAGTTTCAAACTAGGGCGAAACAGCTGTCCAGTACTCCCGGGTTTTCCAGTGGTTCTCCAACTGATGTCAGCTCATGATGAAATCCTCCATGAAATGCAATTTGGTTGTAAAATACATAAACAAAGCGAAAAGTATGTAAAAGCGAGTACCAGCTGTTTAATTTTGATAATGATTCTTTCTTTCCTATTTTTCCCAACTTATTCTAGAGGGATACTTGGTTGCTGTTTAATACCATTCTACGTGAATTCCTGTAAGGATGCATACCATAGCTGTCCAGAGTGTGGAACTTTGCTTGGAGTTTATAAACGTATTTAAAATTTGAACATATGTTTCTTCTGTTAGCACTTACAAAAGCTAATTCTCTATCTAATGCAATTTGTGATCTGTCGTTCAAAGATAAGCCTCTTTTTTTCAAGTTAATTTAATAAGTCGAAATACAGAAAAGTAAGCAGTATGAAGATTCTATTCTAACCGTTTGTTTGTATCACATTTGTATTGTTAAAGCAGCATAACACATTGTGACTTTATTCTCATTACTTAAATTAACTTATATTCATCATTAGATTACCAGATTTTCCCTTGTCCATTTTTTATATTAACTTTTTTTTTACCAGACATATTATTGCCTTTTCAAAGTGCAAAATAAGTGCTTCTGTTACTATCTACATACTGAAAGAAAATGTGAGAATATCTACTCAGAACACACTTTTTTTAAACAATTTTTCATGCAGAACACTTTATATTTGAAATACTAAGCTGTTTAACAGTTTTTCTCCACGAAATATGTGTCACTCTCAATTCTGTCTCTTATTTTATATTTTCATAAATTTACAAATATCTTCCTTTTCACGAAAAAAAGAAAATGTTTTAATGTTGTCATCATGTAATGTATACAAATATATTTTTTATAACCAATGCTTTGAGTACATATACGGCTAAGACGATCAAGATTATTACTAAGGTCTCTAATGTATTTAATTCAATTTTAGATTTTCCCGTCAAGTGATTTGACCGAAGTGCTCGGTTTCAGGTTGACATGTCGGCTTCTTGTGCAGATCCTTCGACGATGTCTGGGCATGTAATTAGAAGTTAATTGGTGGATGGTGACTAGCAGTGGAATCCATGATGCGCATTTAGTCTTATTTGGGGCTCATCAGCTAGATGTACCTGCATTCCACAGTAAGTGGGTTCAAGCCTCGGTGGGGACATCATAACTCACTGCGGAATGCAGATACATGTAGATAACAAGTCCCAAATAAGACTTAATGCGCATCCTGTATTCTACTGCTAGTCACCACCCACCAATTAGTTTCTAATGTATACTTAATGAATATAGTGGTGAAGGCGAACAGCGACTGTGTTGTATATTACAAACTTGAGTATAAATGAAGCATATATATTGCTTTCTTCCACACTTTTATTTACCTTCAGCTGTAGATAAAAGTTTTAAGACTGTCACTTACCTAACTACCATTTTCATAATATGATAAAATTAACTACTGTCGAACAAGAGAGAAGTTTTTGTAAACCTCCTTCGACTTATAAACATAAAAGTCTACCGCCTTATTAATGACTCTGAGAAGAATACACACAATCGTGATGAAAGATACTATGTAAAATGATGTTTTACTTCAAAGTACCAATTAACCAAAACAGATCGATAATAAAGTATTCAAAGAATGGTGATAACACATAAATAAAAACAGATTCCCTAGTATTTATTATTCAGTGCTTCGAATAACTCAAGTAAATGAATAAATGTAAAGCCGAGAGAATACAACTAGCGTCAAACTTTCTCTGTTTTCTTTGTTTTCGTAGTTTAGCTTCTTCAACGCCTCCAGATACTCACTTAACATTTAAATATTATTGAATTTTACTATTGTTTTTATTTTTCTCATTGATACCTTGTCAGTGTTTTAATAATAAGTGTATTATGAAACAGTAGTGAATATTGATGCATACTTGCCACGTATGTCATGTGTGTACCCTAATGTGAATATAAAATAATGGCTTAATAATGATGATAATAATAGCTTTATTACAAACTGTACCTTCGGTACATATATTGAATTTGTAGCATGCACTACAATATTGCACCTAATTTTCTTGTTACAGAGAAAATCATTTGAACAGGGTATTCACACTGATAATATTGTTCATTGAAAATATGAATACAAAAATTTAAATTTAAGTGGAAATGTTCACAGCAATATAGTAATGAAAGAAATCAAATAAGAGGGCCATTGACTTAGTGTTTCGCAGTAAGTTAGCTGTGTCCTGCCTTACGCTTTCCTGCCCACATAAAATGAATGCCAAATATGGTATCGTAAAGTTTTCATACCTATTCACCCGATAACAAGGTCTTCCATAGTTGCTTCTTATTCTACCTGACGATATACAAGAAGAGAAGTGTGCATAGAGAGGATGGTCAGGGTCTGAAAAAATAACATTCTGTAATTTCTTGCATAAGTTTGTGTTTCTATCCACAAATTCGTTTATCAGTATCCCACTCGTCCTGCTGACAGGTTTTACTCCCCTTTTCAGTGTGATAAAGTCTTTCTTAAGTAGCCGAAGAAAGATTAAGGGGTAGCAATAGAGAACAATTGGTAGAATACAAGAATTAACAAACTGTATAAGTATAAACTGAGTGACTCTAGATTGTTTTTAATTCCTCAAGTTGATTAGACGAAATATCTTTCTGGAGATTAACTTATATTCACATAAATTCATTCATGTTGATCATCACTACATAACTTCTGTTAATGGATTCCTCAATAATAGCTTGAATCATATTAACTGTCGTTTGTTCGGTGACAGTAAACTGTGGATTTCAAGATATTTATTATGCCTGAATCAGAAATCACATCTTGTTACTTCAAATGAGACAGTGTTGTTCACCCGACTGAAAATGGTAAATAATACGGAGATGAAACTCAGATCAGTCAAATTAACCTTCCTTAAACGTATGTCCTAAGACGAGAGTTATTTCATCAGTGTCAACAAATAAACGGTATGAAATGCTTGTGGGAAATTTTTATCAGTAAGCTTCAGAGAAGATAAGATGTGAATCTTTGATTTTACTGCTAAACATCAGCGAACATGTTTCAGTGAAGACTAAAAGGTAAGCCCAACATTTTTCTGGATTCTATATCGAAATTATTAAGAATTCAATGAACGGTTACACTGAAATTGGGCAGCAGACATCAGATGACACCGAAATAGGGTTACACTTGCTGCAAAGGATTAGTTCCTTCAGTGTATGACAAAATCCAAAAATTTATATTTATGAGAAAAGTTATAGCTTAGATAAATAAACCTTCAGTATATTCTTTTTCAACGGACAAACAACAAAGAGGCATTATTTAGATGTTTCTCTCTCAGATATATAATCTCAAAACTGCTTATGATTCATATCAAGTAAATGACGAATCGATCCTTGGCTTGAATTTGTTTAATCTGTGAACGGCATTATTCCATCTGTAGTTTTGCTAACAAATTCTCATTTGATTTGGAATTTCTCGTAATGTATCTTGCAATATTTTAAGTTGCTTGTTATCCGTCAGATTTGTTTTTCGTATCTTGATATGATGTTGTTTCTGAAAGCATGATTAGCTACCGTCTGTAGAGCGTTTTTGTGTTGAACTAATCTTGGAGAGTTGAAGGTAACCAGCAAGAATCTATAGATCTAGGTTACTTGGTTACTGGTACTCATCAAAAGGTAGTCCTTGCAGGCAGAGACACTGGTGTCAACAGGAGGATTAGAACACAGTTTGTTAGTCGCAGCGATTTAAAGTGTCATCACAGGTCAACTAACTATCAGTCACCTGTAGTGATACCTTTGACGTCAGTAGTGGGTGGTATGGTTTCCAATCTCAGTGGGGACACCAACTGCCCCCAGTGTGAAGATGTGTCTTGCAGACGACGGCCAATATGCACGAAATCTAGGCTCACAGTTTCTTGTCGAATGTCTGTAACTAAATAGCATAAAAATAAAAATGCACTGTCTCCACTAACCACTTTGCAAAATTGAGTGATAGAATTCAGTCAGTACTAAGGATAAGACAACACAACAATGGTTAGTCATCAGTGACCAACCACTGTAGATTTCATTTTACTGAATATTGTTTGCTAATTTTCAATAAACATGACATTGTATTTTGTCTTCATCAGCTAGCAGTTTTGAGACCTCCAGGTGACATCATACGCCCAGCCCTCAGATGGAACTCGTGCAAAGTTGAGTCGTCTGTAGTGACATGAGGTAGCTCATGTGCGGAGAAGATGAAAGCTCATAAGCAGGCGTAAAGCCAGCTGAATAAGATGGCAGTGAACCAACTGCATTGGTGGCGTACGACTGAAACCCTGAATATTTTTTGATTAAAAGGGTTCCTGGATGGTTTGCTGTCTGTCATAGTACTGCGTCACTTATCGTTTACGCACGGCCATGTGACCTTCAGCATCGAGCTAAGGGATACAAATGTTGACGAAAGTCTACAGTAGCCTTTTAAAATGATTTTTCGACGGCCAATGCCCCTAGGCATCAAAGCATTGAAATGACACCAGTGTTGGAAATTTGGAATTTTTCTTGTGTTGATGAGTGCAGTATGTCTACACTGAAGAACGCCTCTCTTGCTTTCCCAGTCATGATTAGCTGGCAGTGACATCCCCATCCATGGTGCCCGTAGTGGAAACAATGAATGCTCGCCAGGTGAGTGAAAGAGACGACATTATTTAGTTGTCTGCTACTGTGATGATTCATGTTCATTGTTTTCGGTCTGATGCCTTCACCACCTCTGTCTTCTATATGTTCAGCTGAAGTCCTTTCTTCTCCGCCTCTTCTGACAGCTCCTAATTTTTCACCTGTGGATAGCAGGCAGCCTTGTTTTACTCCTGTCTTCACTTCAAACTCTTTGTTGAGGTTCCCATTGTGAATTGGCCAGTATTTGACATCATCATATAGCTTTCGAATGAGGTTTATATATTTCTGACACTGCACCCTATTGCGTTGATGCAGCCAGCATATCACTCTTCGGTTAACGCTGTCAAAAACCTCTTCAATACCAATGAAACTGAGGTATGGAGGTGAATTCTGCAATTTCGTGGACGTCAAAATGCTAAGAATCAGTGGCTAGCGACTGCTAGTTTGAAAAAGTTTAAAATATCATAAGGATACAATAATTGCTCCCCAGCACTCTGAGAACATTCACTAATCTACAACTATTGTCCTTTCTCTACATCTCCATTCACTGTGGTTTCATAATAGTTTTTTCTACTCCTATGTGTACTTCATCTAAGTGTGATGAAATGAATTCTGTTAAGTTGTACACTAATGAATCATTCATTCAAATTTTATAAATAAAAATACTCGACTTCTATAAGTAATACCATCTGGGTTTTTTATTAAGTGGAAGGTACAAAAATTTTGTTTGATAAAGTCCAGTTAATTTAGTTAAAATTCCACGTGAATTGTCACCTTGTCTAAAATATTAACCATGTTCTGTTGATAAGAGTAAAATTACATGGAATTTGAATGAAATCACCCTAAGTAATTAATTACTTTTATATACAAAAAC